ACATGCTGAGTGACTTTGGGCATTCTCCTCGCCAGCTTCTGGGGGACTCCAAAGCAGTTGGAGGGCTTGGCTGGGGGGGGGGCACAGAAGTGGGGGAGGGAAATTGCCCGAATTGGACACCCGCTGACCAGTGGACCTTCCTGAGCAAAGCTGTGGTTCAGGAGAGAGTTTGGACAATTGGACGGATCCCGCCCTGAAGACATGAATGAGTGAGGGACAGAGTTCTTTCCTACCTCACCCCCTGCCGCCCAGCTCCCGCGCAGCCTCAGACATCAGGGACACACCTGAAAGGATCCTGGCCCATCTGAGAACCACCTGCTAGTAAGTTCACTAGCCTGGCTTAGTCTCTGTATTGGAGTCCTTGGGCGTACAAACTGTTCATGTCGTTGGCCGCTAACCCAAAGATTCAAGTCTGCCCTTGGAAGAAAGGCCTGGCAATGGACTCCCCCAAAGCAGCCACTCCATAGGGAGCCCAGTTCTGCTCAGATGAGCGCGGGGTTGCCAGGACCTGGAGTAGACTCAATGGTGCCTGCTTTTATTAGCTGTGTTGACTGGCTGACAAGTTTCTAATCACTAAAGACAGGTGTGGATACAACCGTGAACAAGAGAGATGCACCCCCTGTGTGCTCTGAGCTTGCTTTTCAGGAGCAGGAACCCCAAGGGTAGAGTGGGTATTGTGCATGCAACCGGGAGGTGTCCCTGGAAGCAGAGCCTTCCTCAGGCTGAAGCCTGGGGTGCAGACACTTCCCCAGTGGTCTGAGCTGATCCAGCACTTCTTTAGCCTAGAGCACACTCATCCTGCCCCTGCAGAAGCTGTCAGTGCTGGTCGGCTTCCTGGTTGGCCTGGAACCCCTGCCTCTGGAGTAGCAGTGTAGCCGGTGAAACAGACAGTTGATGGGTCCTCTGCTCGGGCAGGCAGGATGGCGGAGCACCGCTGGATGGCAAACTACATCCACATGCGGAGCGGGGCTGTTAGCTGCTGTGGGAGCTTCACGCTGAGTGTGATCCTGAACCTGGGGCGCAGGGACCCCCTGGCCTGATGTGGGATCTGGCTGCCCTTTGAGGTGGGGCACTGCTACGCTCACACGGTGAGGCCCAATGGTGCTTTCTGGGCAGGCTTTAGCAGAGACAGGAGGAAGGGAACAGATTGGGAGGAAATCTGATGGGGATCTGAGTAGAAGGAGGCAGATGTGTGCACATAAACACACCTGTTCTGGGGTTCTGGGGAGTATGGAATGGTGAAGAGCCAGGCAAGGTAACCAGAGCAGAGAGAGGAGTTACTGCATGCCCCAGAGAGCCCCGTTTGTAAGCAGCCTCCCCGGGCCTGGGGCTGAGCTAACAGCCGAGCGTATGGAGGAACAGCCATCACAGGTTCTCAGTCCCTGCAGCAGGACCCTCCAGGGGAGGTTTACAAATGTGTGGGGACATTTTCAGTGGTCTCTGGCACCTCCTGGGTAGAGGCCAGGGATGCTACTTAAGACCCTACAATGTGTGGGGCAGCTCCTCCCTCAACAAAGAGTCGACATTGTTGGGGTAGAGAAACTCTCAAATCCAGAGGAGCAGGCCCAGGTGGGCATGTCCCCTGAGGAGAGGTGTGGGAGAGCCCTGCACTGTCCCATGGGGAAAACATTGGGCTAAGACCACTCATCACACAATCCCCTAAAGGTGAGGATGTGGGAAATGGTGTGTTGGCTCGGTAAAGGCCCCTGCTCCAACCCCTTGTTAGTTTGAAACTCGCATGTGACTAAAGTACGTGGTCAATAAATGAAAACAGAAGGGATCTCAACTCCACAGTGGTTGAGTGGATCCACAGGGACCGTGTGGGACGGAGCAGAACTACCTCACAGGGTTTCCCAGGCTGTAATCTTTATGAAAGCAGACTGCCTCATCTTTCTCCCGAGATGCTGCTGGTGGGTTTGAACTGCTAACCTTTTGATGAGCACCGGGACGCTTAACCACTGTGCCACCAGCAGAGGCACATCGATAGAAAAGAGTGCCCCTTTCAAACATCTGACACCCGCTGGAAGTATTTAGCATCATTGTTCATCTCGGAAAAATTATCCCAACAATCAAAACTCTGCCTTGGGGACCCAATCATTCATTTCCGTGGCAAAGAGATGGCTAAAAACCAAAACACGATGACTCAGTGGATTGCCACCATCGTCTGGGCCCTTCTGCCTGGAGCCACTGTTCCCTCCAGTGTGGTGGAAGGCTACCTTGAGAGAAAATAGTCCATAAAGATTAGAAACTTGTTAGGGGAAAAGGGTGCTTGATGGGCAGGTGAGAACACTGGAGGCTAGGACTGGGCAGCCTGAGGCAAGAGCGGGGCTGAGACTCCCATCTCTGGCCGGGCTTGGATAGCCAAGGGGACTGGGCTCACAGCAGGTGAGGGACTATTGGAAATGGAATGAATGGGTCATCAATTAGGTTAGTATCAGCTGTAACTTGCTGAATGAACTCTCACAGCAGGCTTGTCTGAAATGGCATGTGGGGCACTTCCGGTGGGGCCCGGGATCCTTCCACCAAGTCTATTCTGCCTCATAGCGACTCTACAGGACAGAGCAGAACTGCGCCTGTGGGTTCCCCAGACAATCTTTACGGGAGCAGAAAGCGACATCTTTCTCCTATGCAGCACCTGCTGGTTTCAAACTGTTGACCTTGCAGTTGGAAACCAAACACATAACTCGCTACACCCCTGGAGCGCCTTAGAGAGTGAGCTAAACGCCCAACGCACTGCCACACAGTCCATTCTGACATATAGAGACCTGGCTGACCGGAGTCAAATTTAGTTTTGTGTTTCAACTTTTATCAGCTTTGGTTTCAAGCTTAATTTACCCCCGAGTTTTAAATGTTTGCGTTTGCTTTGTCAGTTTCTTCTGGGATGATGTTTTCTTCTGTGCAACCTCCGCTTCTGACTTAGGATCAATGTGTTTCTTTTCAGGAAGGCTCATTTCAAAGGCAGGGGGGGCTCCGGTATGGGCTGCTCTGTAAGGCTGGTGGGCACGTCTTGGGGGCTTTGTTCACCTGGAGGTGCTCACTGACCAAAGCACCCATATCTAGACCCTTGAGTTCAGCATGACTCTCTGCATTTCAAAGCACATGCAGTAAAAATACAGCACTCTTTCAGGCTACTGACCCTGGGTCCAAACCCGCTGTTAGGCTTGGGCACCCTGTCCAACTCCACCATTGTAACATCCGAAAGGCCACACACACAGTTTCTGCAAAGTGACATCTTTCAAATACTCGGTGGCTTTCCAGATATGCATACCCTTGATGGGCTGGACCATTCTGCAGGTGATCTTAAAATGGACCCCGAAATTGGACCCTCTTGATTCACAATGTTTTTTTGGGTCAGGTAATGAACCATTTTGGCAGATGACTGCAGGCTGCTACAAGAGAGCAAATTTGTTTTCTGGGGTAAGCTGTCCTTACACCCCTTCCCTGCTCCCCCGGCTTCCAGAGCGCTGATGAAGTCACTGCGTTCATTCCTTTATCCCCTCTGCACAGGTGCAGAGCCGTGGGAGCAGGCGCTGTATCAGAGCCTTGAGAGAGGGGACAGGAGAGGATGAAGCCGGCCGGTGGTCGGGGACTGGGAAGGCAGCAGCTGAGGGGGTCTGACCTTGCAGGATGGCGGCACCATTTGACAGGACAAGTGCCTCCCTGGTCCTTGGCAGGCTCAGCCCATAAGACACTGGCCTCAAACTCTGTCCTTACTTCTGGAGCCCAGCCTTTCCTGAGGCCGTGGTGGAGGGACCAAGGGCACCGTCTATACCTGAACTTGACGCCCACCTGGGTAGGCCAGATGCCCCCGTGAGTTTGCGATGGAGCTCTGTCCACAGACGTGCACAAGTGCAGGAGCAGAGGGCACAGGGGTAAGCTACAAACCCAGTCCCCGAGAGGCCGAGCCTATTCAAACAGTGACCCCCAGGCCGAAGACATGCATGGAGGGCAGTCTTTCCCAGGAAGAACACTATTGGCACTTTCAGGCTGGGGGTGGGGCAGGACAGAGACTTCTCTGCAAAGCTGGGAAACTGCCTTTCCTGCATCATGGAGTGGCTTCCACCTCAACATCTGGTCTCTCTCCCCACCCCCAATTTCCTTCTCTGAAGAAGAGTAGAGTAACCCCATCTGGGCACCTGGTGAAACTGAGGCAGACAGCCTTCTAATCAGGGATCTTGGGTAGGGGCTGGGGGGAGACCTCTGGGTTGGGAGAGGGGACAAGGATAAGGCCAGCCTGCTTCTCCCACAGCGAGGAGCCTTCTGCAGACAGGCCTGGCAGCTGTCCCCAGCCTGCTCACACTGCAGTGTCCCTGTCACAGGCCCCCGCCTTCTTTGGACACTCCAGGTGAGAAACCTGGTTGGGTGCAGCTGAGGTGTCACCGGGCTTCCATCTTTCCCGGGGCGGAAAACAAGCTCACACCACACTACTGGCCTGGGTGCACAGGAAGTATTTAATCTTCAGACAGTGGGGGGCGGGGGCCCCACTCCTGCCCCACATGCAGGCAGCTAACCTCAGGACTGACAGCACCTGGGACTCAGGTTCGCCTCTGCTCCCCCTCCCACCAGACTCCCGGCCTCTCCGCAGGCTCAAAGCAGAGGCCTTACAGACATCTGTGCTCCTTCCCAGGGGCTGGTGGGGTGCTGGGCTCATTTTGTTCCTTTTTCCAGAAGGAAAGAAATTTGGTTCTGAGGAAAGGCTGGAAAAGCCTTCCCGGGCACTCTGCACCCCTCCCCCAGCCCCACCCCTTCCCCCGCTTGGCTCTGGCTCACAGTCTGTGGTTTGCCAAGTTGTCCCTTAGCTTCCTGGGTCACCCAGTGGGGGGTGGGGGGGAGGGACAGTGTGGGCTCTGGGGCTGGTCCATCAGGCTGTACACCCAGGCTTCCGGTGAGCCCTGCTTCCACAGGAGGTGAAGGCTAGTCTATGGCTGCTACGGAACAGGGAAGGCACGCAGGTCCTAGCTGGTAGGCCGATAACCCCCCCCCCTTCATCCCCAGGCAGGAGGGCAAATACTCCAGTCCGAAGAGCCCTGCCTCTCTGTCACAGTACTCCCCGAGGCTGATCAGGGCATGGTTCGGGCCGGGGCAGCCCCCTAAGTATACGACCCCCGCCCCACACACATACCCCAAATAGGTCTGCAGCAGGCCAAAGCCAGGGAGTCCTGGATCCCTGGGAGCCAAGCGGCCAAGACCTGCAGAGTGAGGGTAGGGGATCTGCCACTGGCTGGGGGGGTCTTCCCCTGATTGCACTCAGGGTCTCAGACAGGAGGAACACTCTTCCACTGAGGGTGGGTGAGGGAGAGGGGCCTCCAGCCAGGCTGGCAGTGGGAAACCCGGCTCCAGACCTGTGCTCTTCCCCTCCCCCACCAGCCTGCTGGTGGCCCAGGAGAGCTAAGTCAGGGAGCCCAGGACAGGGAGCCTGAAGTCAGGTGTCCCACCCTGGCTTGGGGGCTGCAGGGTGAGGCCAGCCCCCTGGGGGGAGGGGCTCTGGCAGAAAGGAGCAGACTGTTGGAGCATCCACCTCATGTAAACAAGGACACACATACACACACCTGTCCTCCCCGCTCCCCACACCCACCCTTGGCCTGGAGAGGCTGGAGGCCCTCTGATCTGTGAGAGATCGGGAGGCTTGAGGTGGCAGGCTGCTGGCAAGGAGGGGTCTGTCGTGCAAACTGGTGCAGTCTGTCCTGCTGGGGCACCCGTGGGTCCTGCTGCCCCTGTGCCGTGGCTCAGGAAATCATGCAGCGGCTGGGCTTGTCTTTACCTGCAGAGACAAGGAGCACAGGCGGGTGACAGGGATGCCCCTTGGCCGCGCACGCACGGCCCACCCTGGGCACCCGAGTTCTGGAGAAAGCGGATCACGGGGCCAGGGGAGTGGGCAAGGGAAGAGATTCCGTCTTTGGCAGCCTCGGCCTGAAGCCCCCCTTTGGCGAGATCATCGGGTGGGCTCCTGACTCAAGGCCACCCAGATGTCTGCGTGCCCGCTCGGCAGCGCTTCTCTCTTCCGGTCACGTTTCCTGTGTTTCAGGTGAGGGTTTTGCACAGCTGTCGAGGAAGTTCCCGCTCACCCTTTTCCACCCCAAATGCCCGGTGCCCCACAGGGCTCCCACTGGCTGCGAGCTGTCAGAAGCCAGGCTTTTCTTTTGAGGTACCCCTGGGCAGCCGGCTCCATCCCCCTCCCTCTGTAAAAGGTGGGTATAGCCACAGCTGCAGTCCCCTGGCTCCATGGGAGGGCGGGGGTCGTTGGTGGTGGGTGGGGGCAAGGACTCAGGACCCAATGGCCATCATCGGGGCCTTCAGTCTGCCCAGATGGTGGCACGTCTTATGTGCAGCATCACAGCCTGCTGTGACCAGCCTCACCTTCTACACCTGAAGCCCACAGGGCTTCTCACAGCCAGTGGCCAGGGTGGGAGTGGGACGCTGGCACCTTGGGAAGGGGGCACCTTGGGTGAGGGGGTTGGGGAGGGGGAAGCACAAGTTTAGGGGGCAGGTTTAAGCCTGAGAATGGACGGAGCACAACGTATAGCGCGGAGTGGAAGGGGAGAAGGCTGCTCTCTGCCAAGCCCAGGCAGCCATGCCCCCTCCTCCTGAGACCTCCCGCAAGGGGACCCAGATTCCAGGAGAAGTCCTAGGTGGACAAGTCTTGGCCTCCGCGCCTGCCGGGTGACAGCTGTGAGGGGGGAGGCACCGCCTGCCTGGGGGGTGGCAGGGGGAGGTTTCTGGTCCTTGACCAGAGCCGGGGGCCTCCCCCAGGTGAAGCTGCGATGTTTATTTTCTGCCAGTTCCTCTCTGCACAGCGAGGGCTGGCTCCCTGGTGCTCACACCACCTTCCAGCATCGCTTCAGCTGTGAACTTAATTAAGGTGGCGGCTGCCTCCCCTCCAGGGCCATTAGCAGGAGACACACAAAACAGGAGTCGACTTCTGGGCACTGGCACAGGTGGCCCCTCTCCTCCCCCCAGTGACCTGCCACCAGGCTGATCATGCTTGTGGCCCGTGGCCCGTGGCTCATCCATACTTCCTATAAGCCCAGCCCCAGCTGGGGCAAGGGGCTGTGCTGACACACTCAAGGCTTAGGAGCCCTGAGGGCTCAGGGCCCCTTCTTCAGCAGTGCCCAGCAATGCTGCCAAGACGAAACCCCTCTCCCCTACAGTCCCCCCACTGTGGCCGCTACCTCTCCTGGGCGGCTTGCTCTGTGTGCTTGGCTCCTGAAGCATGTGCCAAGTTCCTGCCCAGAGGCAGCAGCCTGTCCAGAAGGAGCCTGTTGGCACAGTTAAGCGCCCGGCTGCTAACCAGGTTGTCAGTGGTTCGAATCCATCAGCTGCTACATAGGAGGAAGAGGTGGCATTTTGTTCCCCAAAAAGAGCGCAGCCTGGGAAACCTGATGGGGCCGCTCGACTCTGCCCACAGGGCTGCTCTGAGTTGGAAATTGCCTGATGGCAGTGGGCTCAGCTTTGGTTACCAATGGCAGTCGAGGGTGTGGTGTGGTGTGGTGTGGTGTGGTGTGGTGTGGTGTGGTGTGGTGTGGTGTGTGCGTGTGTCTCAGAGTGGAATTGTGCCCCCATGGAGTTGTCAATGATGGATTTTCTGGAAGTAGGTTGCCTGGTCTTTCTTCTGAGGGACCTTGGGGTAGCCTCGAAACCTCCACATTTTTAATTAGCAGCCGAGCACAGTTACTGTTTGGGCCACTCAGGGACAAAGGCATACATAGCCAAGAACCTTTGTTTTGCAAGGGGGTTGGCAAAGAAAGCTCAGAGAGGAAGTGAAGCCTGGGGGTGTGTGTGTGTGTGTGTGCGGAGTGTGAGTGAGAGAAGGAGTGAGACTGAACAGAGGGCTGTAGGGTGCGGGGAGAGGCCACTGAACAGAAAGGGGACAGCAGGAAGTGAGGGCCAGAGCAAGGAAGCAGCTGGGCCCTGGGAACCCCAGTCCCCATGGTCCGGCTGGTGTGCTCCTGTATCCTCCAGGTGTCAGGGGCTTTAGCATCTTTTCACCTGGAAGATTCCTCTGGCTAGAGTGTGGGATATAAAGAGGCTTTTTCTCAGGCTGTCTCCCCCAAATAGATGCCAAACCCAAGACGCTGCTTGCTACACATGGTAAACCTCCGCATACTTGGAGGTCATTGCAAACAGGTCCGATTCCCTGGGGGTTCTCAACCTTCCTCATGCCGTGACCCTTTAATGCAGTTCCTTATGTGGTGGTGACCCCCAACCATAAAATTACTTTCATTGCTATTTCATCACTGTCATTTTTGCTACTGTGATGAACTGGGCTCCCCTGTGAAAGGATCATTCAACCCCAACGGGGTCGCAATCCACAGGTCGAGAACTGCTGTTCTAGAGCAATCAGACTGTATAGTCTGTGCCACCCTAGGTAGGGCCCACTCCCTTCTGATTGTTTCCCTGAAGGAGAGCCCAGGGAGGTCAAGCCCACTCAAGGGTGACCAAGGTTAGGCTGCCATATTGAGTCTAGGGTCTGCCCTTCTTGTCACATGAATGCCCCTAATCCCTCCCCTTCCTATTGTGTGTACACCCCAAGTTCATCCCCTTCCTGTGACACGTATGCCTACTATACATCCCCTTTCCAGGCGACGGATGTGATTACCTGTAATCACGCCCCTACGTATATATAGGTTAGAAATAAAGAGGAGATGCTCTCTCCTGCCCTCTCCTCCTTCCCCACCCCCACATGGACCACCCAGAAGGGCTGAGGTGAGCATGCTACCATACGAAATGGGTCTGATTCCTTCATTTTACTCTCTCTCCTGTCTCCTACAACTTTACTATAGTCTTTACAGATCTTCACCGTACCATTGCGTCTACCGAACCTTGATCATGTTAGGGGCTGGTCTCCCCTCACACTAGAGGCGGTCCCGGCTGACCCTGAATGTTCTCTCCATACGACCCAGCTCTGTTTCCTTTGCTGCTGTTCTGGCCCCGGGCAGGCACTTCTCAGAGTATCTGTGGTGCCCAGTGAAGGAGCAGGCCGGGGGAGCTCTGCACACACTGGTTTATACCAGTGCTGGTGACAACCCTCACCTCAGACCTCTGGGAAGGCAGTGGGAGCCCTGGCCAGGCCCGAGGGAAACCAGAGGGCAGATAGCTTGGGACACTTGCCACTGAGGACACCTGCCCCTTCCCTGGAGCTGCAAGGAGTCAGCCACCCCAGTCCCTCGGGGCTGTGTGGCCCAAACCAATGAGGCTCCAATTAGATCAAATTGCAGCCTCCAGACACCAGCTTGACAGGCAGCCCTGGGGACACTTGCTCTGGACCCCAACATTCCATCCCAGATAGGGGCCCAGATTTCCAGGAGGGAGATTCAAGGTCTGCTGCTCCCAGGGATGATGGGCCAGAGCTTGAGGTGCCCACACCCACACTCAGGAGCTGCCCACGCTGCCCGGCCCTGCCCGACGGACTCTGGGAACCTGCCTTCGGGAAGGGCAGCTGTCACAACAGGTCAGATCAGGAAACTTCAGGGGATGCAGGGACTCGCAGGGACCAGCCAGGCACCTGGGGAAGTCAACTGCCACTCATCCTCCTCTCACTGAGGTGACCGCAGGGGAAACCCAGGGAAGCATCAAACACACTGGGGCACCTGGCTTCCTGGTCTTTAGGGACAATGACATGGCCTGGGAGTCAGGGGGCCTGTGCTTCTCACGGTTTGAACATGGATGGACCGGGGTGGGGGGTGAGGGGGCTCCCCTGGCTGAGCCTTGGGGGGAGGTGTCTTGATTGTGAAGTACTGTTATCAGGCTGGCGGTTGTGGGGACCACACAAGTCTATGTGATGGTGTTTGGCACCACGTCAGCCTAGCACAGGGGTCCCTGAGCCGGTGAAGCACTTGGCTACTAACTGCACAGTCAGCAGTTTCATTCCCCTCGGAAGCAAAGCCTGGCAATCATCTACCCCTTAAGGTCACGGCCACTGAAAACCCCACAGTGTCTGTACAGCTCCACCCTGACACACGGCGGGTGCGGGGAGCTCTCTGGGTTGGAACTGACTTGAAGCCATTGACCGGACTGCTTTCCGGTCACGCACATGGTGGCAGGTGCTCAGGGGAATTTGCTTCCTCCTTCCAAACTTTCTGCACCTCTGGGACATTTCCTAGGTTCCCTGGTGGTGTCGAGGGCTGTGCTACCCAGTTCAGAACCACCAGCCTCTCCATGGAAGAAAATGAGGCTTTCTCAGAGAGCCTGTCCCATGGGGTCGGGGGGAGTCGGCATTGGCTACATGGCACGGAGTTTTGGCTTGGGAATATTTCCTGGTGGTCACCCTGCCGGCGGGGTCTCTAGTAGGCTGTCAGTCAGACAGCTGATGACAGGTGACCAGAAAAAGGCTTTGCATGTCCTGTGGGCAGAGCAGGCAGGGGCCACTTTGTAGCCCCAGGCCCCGGCTGAGGGGTGCAGGGCAGCCTGCCCTGGCAGCAGGCTCCTAAGGACACCCCTGCTGACCTCGATGACCTGCCACCCTACAGGGTCCCACTGCACTGTGCTAGGGGTCCTGCCAGCCCTTGGCCCACCCTTGCCCCACCTATCCCATCCAATTCCCTGAAATCTCCCAGTGCTGAAGCAGCCGAGGAGGAGTCAGGCTGCTTGCCCATGGCTGTCTTGTGAACCAATTTACCTGCTTCAACTCACTCATTCATTCATTCACTCATTCAGCAGTTCCACCAACACTTATTGAGGGTCTATTCTGGGCCCTGGTGAGCTGGACTGTAATTGCAAGGTCAGAAGTTTGAAGCTACCAGCTGCTCCTGGGGAGAGAGACAGAGCTTTCTGCTTCTGTAAAGTTACAGTCTGGGAGACCCGTGGGGCAGTTCTATTCTGTTTTATAGGCTCACTATGAGGTGGCATCGACCTGATGACAGTGAGTGGGTTATTTTGTTTAATTCTGGGCCAGGCGCTGGTACCCTCAGACCGACTGCCACCCCAACAGCTAAGTCCACGTGATGGGAGCAAACAGGAGGGGCGGGCCTGTAAGAGGGCCTCCGTCACCAGCCTGCACTCCCCGCAGGTGGGGAGAGGTCTCCTTTGAGTCCCCACCGTGTGGCATGGACTCCCCCGTGGGCATCACACATACAGGGCACTTGTTTAAAGGTCCTGAGCCCAGCCCCAAAGACCCCCTGCCAGGGTGGCACTAGGCCAGCACCTTCTAACAAGCATCTCAGAAGAGGGCTGCTGCTCCCCTGAGGTCTGACTCTCTGCCCCTAGCATGTGTCCCTGGAGCTCCTGGCAGGCCTAGAGGGTGGCTAGCCTGGGGGAAGGTGCTGCAAAGTCCAACCCCACAAAAGGAAGCAGGTGCTCTCCTGCCGCCACTAGAGGGTGCTGTGAGCCCTCAAACGGCAAGGCAGCACCCATCCTGGAACCTCCGCCCTCGCCTAGGAAGCAATTTCCCCAAGGTTCTCCCAGGGGCCACACCTGGGTTCGCAAATATTTGCATGCTGTTTGACAACTATGTACTTCTTATCAAGCAATTTTACAGGCTGTCAGCTCTTAGCTTTTTCTATTTTTCTCTTTCACCTACTTTGTCACCAACCCACACTCCCCCGTTGTGACAGGCGCACAGCAGGGGCAGAGAGGGCAGTGTGGGCCGTGGGCAGAGACAGATCTGAGCTTGGGTGTGTGTGCATGTGTGTGTGTGTCCCAGAATCCTCCCTGGCTCTATGCTCCTCTTGCAGATGGGTCTGGGCCAGGGGAGGGGGAAGGGTGCCATCCTGGGAGCGAGCACTGTTACCTTGGGAATCCACAGGGGGCTGGGTGGGGCTAGGAGACCTTCTGCAGACTGGCAGTGGAGAGGGGCCCCTCCGTGGAGAAGTTAGAGGCGACAGCCCCGTACAGAGTGGACCGCGTTTGGGTCGCTGGGCTGTTGGAAGCCAGAGCCCTCCAGCAGCAGCCCTAGACACTGCCCCCAGGCTGCCGGGGGTGGGGGGCAGAAACAGTCTGGCCACAGGTGTCCACTTGAGGGGCTAGCCAGTGAACCTGTGGCCCAGGAGTTGACTCCGGCTCAGGGCGAGCCTGTGTGTGTTGGTCAGAACAGAGCTGTGCTGCGGAGCAGTGGACAGCTAGGCTTTTTTTCCAGGGGTCCTCAGGGCAGATGGCAGCTGGGCTTGGCCACCACCAGCACCACTAAAACAAGGGCCTCTGGGGGAGAGGAGCACCCGCCACGCCCCTGCCTTTGGGAGACAAAGCTGCAAGGAGGGGAAGACTTCATCCGGGTCTTGCTTAGGGGCTCAGGCTGCACTGGCTGGGACTACGCTGTTCCCGGTAAGGGACAAACAGGACCGAGGGGGCTTTTGTGGGGTGTCCTTGTGCCCCATGTGCACCTGTATCTTTGTGCTTGCTGGCTTGCACTCTTGGTCTGGGGGCTGGGCTTTTTTGGTGTGTGTGTGTGAGTCTTGACTGGCTCCTGGGCAGCAGTGGCCTTGACAATTCAAGTCCTCCAAGTCCCAGAACCCCAAGCCAAGAGAGAGAGAGAGAGAGAGAGCCTGCCTCGCTCACAGAAAGTGATGGAGAAGGGACAAGACAATAGGCCTTCCGTTTCTATGGAAACACCTCAGGGTGAAGGTGGCTGGTGAGGAGAATGCTGCCACTTCACCTCCAGTCACAACTTGGGAACTGGCCCCTTTGGTGCCTGGCTCCCCGCCCCTCCCCCTTCCTGGCCAGGTGTTCACCATGGCAACCCTGCCTCCAAATAGGAGCTGCTGCATCTGGCGCTGGGGGAGATGGCCTGAGGGGGGGCATGGGGCGGCTGGCCACCCTCCTCCACCACATCGCCTCTCAGAGCTCCCACTGCCACCTCTGCTCGAAGGGTGCTTGTGAGAGCGCGCGGCGATGGTGGGGGAGCACCTTGTCCCTGAGGCCCCACTACATGCCCCTGGCTGACGCGGAGACTGGAAGAAGCCTGTGTGGCCAGTCCCCAGGGAAGAAGTCACAGTCAGGTCACAGCTGGGCTGGGGGCATCCGAGGCCCAAGAGCCCACAGCCAGGGGAGCAGGGGTGCACCCGGGCCCTGTCACCACCAGCCTCCTGGGAGCGACCAAGGCCGGGGGCGCCAGGAGACTGTGCCAGAGCTGGGGGCCCACCTCTGCCAGGAGAGACGCCACACAGCCACCACCAGGGGTGGAGGGGGTCACTTTAGACCACCAACAGCAGCGGGGCGGGTCTGACTTGGTCCCAGGATCTGGGGTGAGCTACAGCGAGAACGTGGTCATCATGTGAGCCTCGCTGGGCAGATCAAAGGGAGGCTGTCCTCTCCGGTGGCTGACGAGGTGTGCGAGGGCACAGTGAAAGGGGATGGATGACCAAAGGGTGACCCGGAGACATGTAGTGAGTGTAGGCTGTGGGAACTGGCTCGATCGGTGTGGGGTTGCCTGGAACTCCCAATTGGTAAGGAAATCAAGGTGGGTGGTATTCGGTCCACTGCCTCTGACAGGTTCTCCCCCCCCCCCC